CAAAGTTGGTGGGCTCATTTAGAATTTAGACTCTTCAGATGAGTTCAGCACGTGAATCCTACTTTGACCCCCTATAAATGACAGGGGGCTTTTGTCCTTGCCCTAGCAGAATCCAGGCCAGGATAAGGAGTTTGAAGAGACTGTTGATTCCTGGCCAAAGAGACACCTGTTGGAGCAGCAGCTGCCTTGTCCTCTAACAGGGCTAGCACAGAGGAAGACAGAATCCCTGGTGTCCTCATCAGCCCAACAGGTTTCTCAGCACCACCAAGATGAGAAGGAACCCTCAGAACATTCTACTAGGGGATTTATTTATCAGGGCTACATGCAAAGATAGAAGAGAAGCTTGGAAAGCATGGAGTTGATGCTGACCTATTGTTTCAGAGACAAGCATATCCTGGTGGTTTAGATTCATGTACCTCAAAGGGTTCTTGAAGAGGTGGAATAAATGATCTCTGTCATCTTGGCATACTATTTTACTCAATATGGAGCCACTTAGAGCCACTTATTTTATTTTCAAGTAAGTAAAGATGATCATGGCACAGAATGCAAATTTCATGTAACTATTTAAGATAAAGCACAAGACTTCAAAGATATTTCCTCTGCAGCTACAAGCCCAGAGGTGCTCCCAGACCATCTACTCTGCCTCTGCTCTCAAAAGGTCTTTAGTGGAAAAGGTAGAGTAGCAATGGGTTCTCCCTCTCTCTTAACTGCCCCCTCTACACAAACATATATATGCATGTAGGTGTGTAACTACTAAATCTAAAACAATTGATTTAAGTGATTAACGTCATCTAAAGCAAGACATCACATTAACATAAAGCTTTATTCTCTTCCTTGCCATCACCTTCAGGGTTACGTATTGCTGTGTAGAATATTTCCTAAGTATGGTGTGTCCTACTCCAAAGGCACACGATGTCCATCTGATTCTCACTGGTGACACTAATTTTAATGATCCACTCAAGATTCTGTCTGGATTCTCTCACCGTATAGATACTATTTTTTTCTCTCACAGGTAGTCAAAAATACCTAGGGAAGCTCTTTGAGACCATCAAAATATCCTGCTCATCATCAAAATTGCCCCCCAGATTTAGCATCCACTGATGACCTTTGCCCTAACCAGTCTTTACTAAAATGGCTACAAAATGGTGATTTTCCATCTCCATGACTCCCTCCACACTTAGCAGTCAGCATTCCATTGTACACTATACTCCTCCCCACCCATTTCATTATCTGTTTAGGTCATCTCTTTGAGATTTGTTTATCAATTTACTCTCAGTAAGGACACATGGATATCTGTTTTATTCAAAGGGTTATAATCCATTACTGTTGTTTTTTATTTTGAAGTTCAAATTGTCCCAGAGCTGACTCGTGAGAGCCCCTTCATGCTGACTCCTGTGTCCTTTTGACATGACCTCATTGCTGTTTTAGCACTTCCTTAGCTTTTGGCACAAAATATTCTAGGCTTTTTTAGGGGGTGGGGTACCTTCCCTGCCCCAGCCCTGGAATTAGCAATTTCTCTAAGGAATCTTGGTTTTCAGAAGCTAGGACCTGGGTTCCAGATGTGCTCATTGCTACGGGGGTGCCGCTGCTTCTAGGCCCTTTCAATGGACAGAGAACGGGTTTCATTCTGATACCTTCCATGCAGTCTCATTCCCCAGGTGTCTTGTCTTTCCTGTTTACATCTTTGCTCAATCCTAGATACTCACAAAATAGATTCAGAATTGCTAGACCCATGTTACTAGCAATGACACTAAAACGAGTTTAAAATTCATTTGCAGTTCTTTTTCTCCCCTAGACTGAGGGTGTCAAAGTACCTTGTTCAAAATTTAACGTTGTGTGTAACTACTATATTCAAAAGGTTACTTTTGTTCCTTTCCTTTCTGGATAGTGGTTTTTTTTTTTTTCATTTGAGATGTGGTTGGATTCATCTGGTTATGTTTGCATTCATTATTAGTTTCACCTTCATTCTTGTTGATTTTATTTTAATTTTTGAACATGTAAAATATCAACTTGTTTTCAAGAGTCAAAACTACGCAAAAAGGTATACTCAGAGATATCTCGCTCCCTCCGCTATCTCTTCTCTTCTGAGTTCTTTCCTACTTCCTGTAGGTAATCAATTTTATTGGTTTCTGATTTAACCTTTCTGGGTTTTTTTTTGTAAAAATAAGCAGATATATGAATATCATGTTATTTCCTCTTCTTTCTTACACAAAAGGTAAGACTACACATTATTTATATTCTAGTATTTTTCTCATTTTACTTAGCACTATATCCTGGAAATCATTACATATAAGCCAATAGAAATCATCCTCGTTCTTGTTTTTAACATTAAGACTTCATTATGTGTAAATAACATAGTTTATCCAATCGATCTCTTATGTTTGGGTGTTTAGGTGACTTTTAATATTTTGAAATTACCAGCAATTCTGCAATGAACAAACTTATGAGTATGTATTTTTGTATTGCTGGAGGTTCATCTTCAGGGTTAATTCCTAGAAGTGGGATTGCTGGGTCAAAGGGTAAATGCAAATTCCCCTTCATAGAGATTGTTCCATCCTGTCCTCCCACAAGCAGTGTAGGAGTGTCCCTTCTCCCACAGCCTCATCAACAGAGTTACAGTTAAGCTTTTAATTTTTGCCACTCTGATAGGGGAGAAATGACATCTCTCTACAGTGTAATTTGCATTTTTCTTACTATGAGTGAAGTTGTACATCTTTCATTTGTTGAAAAGCCATTTTTATTATTTTTTTATGAATTTTCCACTCATGTCTTTTGCTCATTTTTTTCTATAGGAATCCTGGGGTTTCCCCCTCAACTTTTAAAAGTTCTTTATCTCTTAGGATTATTAGTTCTTTATGTGTGCTATATGTTGCAAATTTTCCTTCCATTTTACCATTTGCCTTTTGACTTTGCTTATAGTGGTTTTCGACTTTCGAAAGTTGGTTTTTGTTTTGTTCTGTTTTTATTTTAAGTAGTCAAACTTACTTGCTCTTTTTTTCTGCATCTGGATTTTGGAGTCATGGTTAGAAAACCAGATCATCGAGGAGTTCACCCAGGTTTCGTTCTAATGACTTGTACAGTTTTGTTTTTCACAGTTTAGATCTCTGATCCACTTGGATTTCTTTCTTGAGTAGGATATGAAGAATAGAACTAATTTTATCTTTTTCTAAATGGCTACCTAGTTTTCTCAAAAGCATTTATTACAAAGCTCATTCTCGCCCTACTGATCTGAGATGTCACCTTTATCATATACTAAATTTCCATATGTAGTTGGGTCTTTATTTTGGACCTTCTGGTCTACTGATCACTCTGTCTATCCAGGTGCTGGTACCACAATATTTTAATCATAAAGAGTCTGCTTTTTATTTTTTAAATTCATGAAATAAACAAAATAACTGATCAAACTGGCTGTTGAGGGTTTGTACACAAACCACTGGGTGACTTGATCACATCAATCCTGGCTAGCCACACTCCTCCTCTTCGTGCCTGAGTTTTCTGCCTTACCCAACCACGTGTAAGAAGAAGAGATGAAACCATCACTGTTGCTGCTATTGTTGTTACTGTTCGTATGGCGCCAATATAAACGAGGTGGCTTAATTATTTGGTTTCTATGATTCTAAACCAAACTGGGCTCAGACTCTGAAAGTGATAAAAGCCCAAGGTCTCTCAGGCAACCAGAGAGGGTTTTTTTTTTCAGCTTAACACACATCTCTATTCAGAGCGATTTCTCCCGGGGAAAGGGTACCTCTCCTTGACCAGCTCATATTTCTATGGTTCCACTGTGTACTTCGAGGCCGAGGGGGCGAGACTGCTGTGGTGTCCCCCTAGATGGGTTCCCATATGCTATTCCTGCCCTGCAGTTGCCAGAAATGCAGCAGAAATAGGAGAGCCCAGGGAGAGAAAAGGCGGCTCACAGCAGCCATTGAGATCACTTTAGAGGACAGCTGGGTCTGGGTTACAGTGATTAATGTGATGTTAATCCCAACAAAAACGACGGGAAGGAGGTCCTGTGAGAACATTTACAATCAATAAATGAAAAATGCCACTCCCATCAGGCTCATTATCACTATGAAAAATCACGCTGAAATTACACAAGAAATCCGGCATTGAGCCATTACTTGATGACTGGCAAAGCCCCTCCTTTTAAGCTAATTCAGCATCAGAATCTTTTGCTTGGAATTCAGCTTTAGAATGAGCCCACGGCGAGAGTTCCAACACCCATCCAGTGCCTATGTGACCACCATTGAAGCATACTCTCACTTGTCATGGGAAGAAAATGCAGCTCACTTGTCATGGGAAGAAAATGCAAATGTGGCAGTGATTCGAATTCACTGCTGAAACTGAGCTCGTCACCTTCTCAAGTTGAGACCCAAAGATTCATCACCAGGCCTGAGCCTCTCAGACGTCAAGGACTGAATCCAACATGCCTATAATCATGGCTACGCTGACAGAATTTGTACACGTGTGGGAAGGAAAAAAAGTAACTAGAGAAGACAAGCAAAAAGTGAGTTTTCTTGTGCTGACCAGACACCTTCCAAAAGTGCTGCTTACATTCTCTGATATTACGATTTAAATTTTTTTTTAATTTTTTTGGTGAGAAAGAGTGGCCCTGAGCTAACATCTGTTGCCAATCTTCCTCTTTTTGCTGAGGAAGAGTGGCTCTGAGCTAACACCTGTGCCAATCTTCCCCTATTTTGTATGTGGGATGCTGCCACAGCATGACTTGATGAGCGGTGTGTACTTCTGCACCCAGGATCCGAACCTGCCAACCCCAGGCCGCTGAAGCAGAGTATGCAGACTTAACCATGGCGTCACCAGGCTGGCCCCTCTGATATCAGGATTTTTTACCAACCTTGCTTACCAAGGGGACCAATGCAAGCTGTACAACAAAGGAAAATGTTATTGAACCCCACAATTAAGGAAAAGTGATACAACTGCCGTCTCACATCCCCAGATGAAGGTACACCCTCAGGCTCTCCCCCAGGGCCCTATAGACTCACAGTGCTGTCAATGTAAGCTTCTGTCCACACCACGTCGTGCTCTTGGTCAATGACTTTGGGCCGGCTGAGCACGTGGAGGTATTCCATGACATTTTCCTGCACATCAGCCAAGGTGGAGATCTGGGTGAAAAATCCTGCCAAGGGAGAACTAAGTTTAGTAAAAGACAGAAGACCTGCAACTAAGGGGCATGCATATGCCATGCGGTTTTGGCCTCTAGAAATTTTCTTTCTTTACTTTTCCTTTTTAGGCATTATATATCCTCTCTACCATCACCCACTTCACAAGTAATGTGTTCATGTTAGAAAATACAGTCAAGCAAAGGGAGGAAAACTAAGATCAACCATACACTCACCTCCCAGAGGAAACCCTGCTAACACTGGAGAATGTCTTCCCAGACTTTGTTCTACACATATACATTCATATAAGTATCTTCCCTCGCAGAAAAGGGAGTGCTCTCTACATGCCATTCTGTAACATTTTTTTTTCACTTGAGTGAATTTATTCCCAATGGGCAAACTATAAACCACAAAATTTAAAGGCTATCCCCTTTTTATAACTATAGTAATAGTTATGATTAGTTTTTGAGTGCTTACTAAGACACACAAAATTTGCTAACCACTTGATAAGCTTTGTCTCATTTATTCTTGACAACATGATGAAACGGGGATAACAACGTCCACTGTAAAGACAAGATGACTGAGGCTGACTGAGAACATGGGTTTCTCCCATGTTTTCACAGGTATCAAGTGGCAAACACAGAAGGTGAACCTAGGCTTATGAGTCTCTTAATCTGTGCCTTTTGCTTCTGAAGAATTTTGACCTTTGTATGTTTGAGGCTGAAACTCCAGCTCATACCCTTATGTGGTTACCAGACCTGCCTATGAATATGCTGGGTAGAAACCGTTTCCAAGTAACAGAAATAGTTCTAAACCACCACCATCTTGTGGATGGGGATGCCATTTTGATGTCAAGTTCAGGGCACTGCTATGTTCTTCCTCAGCTTGGGGTCCTGTTGGCTTTGCTGTGGGTTAGGAGATGTTGGAAGGGAAAGGGTGAACTGAGCACAGGCCTGGATCCCTAGGAGGGGGCCCTTCCTTCAAACGTTGATGGAGGGCTTTCTTGGTGCTGAGCACAGGAGAAGCAGGGATTAGCAAGATGAACACAACCCCTGGCTTCTGGGGCCTGGGAGGTCTGAGTAAACAGACAATTCCAAAATAGCACAATCAACAGTAAGACAAAGTGCACAGCAGGGGCAGCACATCACTTGGCCACTTGGAAGAAGGGTCAGCATCACCGGACCCGGAAGGATGAGGGCCAGTTTGCTGGAAGAAGAGGGGTTAAAGAGTGTGTCCAGCAAAGCCAGGAGTGTAAGTAAAGGGCCAAGGTCAGAGTCAGGCCCCTTCTAGGAACTGAAAATAGCTCAGAATGGCTGGAGGAAGGAGCTGGGGCAGAGAGGAGGAAGTCAGGCGCTGTAAGATCAGAGGAATGAGCAGGGGGCTGTCACATAGGACTCGGGAAGAAGTTCAGACTTTATCCTGCAGGCAGGTAGTCATGGAAGGATTTTAAGCAGGGGGACACTAGATGGACACAGATTCATGTTTCCTCCCCATGCTTCTAAATAAGGACCCTTACAAACTCATGCTAGCTCCTACTTGCCAAAGAAATCAGAGAGGGTATGTGTGCTTCTGAAGCCAGATCTGTCACAGCACTTGCTACAGTGTTTATAGAACCTCTTCATGTCTAAGACAGGGCTCAGGATGAGGAAATGCCAGCCCTTCTGTTGTCCAGAGAGGGCCTGGATTCTCCCAGGGCATTTCCAAACAAAGGCCAGCTGGTTTGAATTTGGTGTGCCAACCCCAAACCAGGTTGGGACCATGTGGCTTCTGGCTTCCTGATGACAGCTCTGTACAGTGCTAATTAACATGCGTTGTCACTCCTGCCCACCCCACCCTCCCCAGCAGGGCCAGAACCTTGCCCATCCCTGGGGAAACAGGGCCCCAAGGCACGAGTCTTATGAGCGCCTGCTCTAGCTTGAGTCCCTGGAGAGGGCCCATTGCACCTTGGCACTCTCTCAGAGGTCAGGCACCACAGAGAGGGAGATTCAGCTGGGACACTGCTCTTGAAAGGCTCTCAGGTGGCCCCTCTTGGAGGCATGCAGGAAAGACAAGTTTTGAAGAGAACTGCTGGATGACAGGGAGTGTCCACAGTTATCTCTCCGTGCACAGTGCTGTAATCAGTGTTTGAATACGAAAGAAAACATTTCATCTCTTCTCTAGTAGGCAAACCTTGGGCTCTGAGGGAAGGGTCTTAGAGAGACAAACAAGACACGGATGACAAGCTAAGAGAGGTGTTGCCATGTTGATAAGAGGAGGAGAGAGCTTCACAGTTCTGGATGGTCAGGGTCCATGGGTGAGCAATTTGCAGTGTAGAACAATTCCTAATTTGGGTTCCTGTGCCAAATGTGCAGTAAAGACAGCATCTCTTAGGAGGTCTTTTTCTTGGTTGTCTTTATGTCCATCCTAATCCTCAGAGGCAACAGTAAAAATCCCTGATTTGGGTTTCCCAAAATAGGGCCAAGAGAAGAAAAGGAATGGATGTAAGGAAGAGGATGAAGGAGACAGATCATTGGCATAGAGAGGGGGTGGGAAGGAAAAACAATCAAGCATTTGGAAGGGGACTGAGCTGAGAAATCATCCTCACTTGGCCTTGCTTATCCTAGTCAAAACTCTGAAAAGCTATAAAAAGCTGGCTTCTCCCCAGAGCCACAGACCCACAGCCAACTGTACACCTGACACCTCCACAGGGACGACTAACAGGATTCTCAGACAAAACTCATCCAGGGCCAACTCTTGGTTGCCCTCGCCAAACCTGTTCCTCCCCCCGTGGGTCTTCCCCATCTCAGCACATGGCGCCACTGCCCAATTAGGCCAAAAACCTAAGAATTAACCTTGATAGCCATCATTTCCTTGACCCACCCCATAGCTAGTCCACCAGCATGTTCTTCTGGCCCTACCTCTAAAATATATCTAAAATGCAGTCCCCCATCTCTACTGCTGCCAGCCTACTCCAAGACTCCACTGTGTATCACCCAGAGTCCAGAAACAGCCTCCCCACAAAGCCCCCTGTTCATTGTCTAGGCTCCTCAGAGCGGTCAGAGGGATCAGCTAAAAGTATGAAGCACAGCATCATCTCCCTGCTTAAAATCTCCCAAACAGCTTCTATTTAGAGTTAGAATACAATCCAGATTTCCTACACTTACCTCCAAGACTCAACTAGCCCCCCGCCTACCTGGATGACCCCCATTCCCCCACCTTTGCTAGTTGTTTCAGCTCACTAGCCTTTCTCTTCCTCTCACACGCGGAGCTCATTCTCCCCCTCAGGCGTTTGCACTTGCTGTACCCTCTGCCTAGCACACCTTTTATCCAGTTTCTCCATGGCTGGTTCCTGTTTATCATTCAGGGTTCAGTTGTCTAAACTCATTTCCTCTCACTTTACCCTGCCTTCCCTTTCTTTAGACGATTCCTCTGGCACTGAATTCTGACTTGCTTGTTTACTATGTTCTCTTTCACTGAAATACTAGCTCCACAAAATGTTATAAAAAGCCGGTGCCCTCTCATCCAGAGCAGTACTCCCGGGTCCACGGGAGCCATTGGTAATGCAGAGCGGCCTCACTGTGATTCACCTTGCCTCTCTGCACCTGGGCAACAGACAGCCCCACTAGCAGGCACATTGTGTAGGGAGGAAACACAAACAGAGCTCAGTAATTTGTCCCCGATCAATTCGAACCCAGTTCATCTGATTCTAAAACCTTTGCTCTTAACCACTGAAGACACTGCCTCTTTCTGTATTGGGAAAGGACAGCAGAGTGGCTTGGAGGTCCTCCTCCAGGAGGGCGCCTCTACTAGGCTGCTTGATCCTGTGGCTGGGAAAGGTCGAGGATGGGTTGGGGAAATATACGGTTGTCCTCCGAGGTTCAGGGCAAATGCTCAATAATTAGCACCAAAGGTCTACTCAAAACCAAGGACAAAATTCTAACTTATATTTCAATATATACCCCAGGGATGCAGATATCTAAAAGGTAAGAAAAGCTGAAATTACAAAAATAATATTAATAACGTATACTGCAAAGCTTAACTCAAATTTGATCATCTAACCCCAACCCATTAAAACCTAAAGCCTTTCTGAAAGACTCTTTTTTGTTTTTAAATGTTTTCATTTAAGTTTTAGTTAACAAATGTACCTTTTGATGGATAACAGGAAGTCGCTGAGGGCTGGATGCTTTGGCTGTAACCATAGACACTTCCCGGGTTTTCCCTCTGTATTCTCTGAACTGGCCACTTTCCCTCCTCCTCACCCCTCTCCTTTTTATTTCTTTTAAATTCTAGCTCTTGAATGTTTATTCTCTTCTTTAATGTGCCTTTTTGGACTTCATATATCATGTACAAAAACAGAATCAGCAATCATTCGGTAATTACCAAGGAGTAATTAATGCTGAAATTAGCCACCTATTACAAATGGTCTGCTCATTTTTCTATGTAACATCAATTTATTTACCTTATTCCCTTGCAGAGCCTTCTGTGAACCCTGGGTTACAACTTCTCAGTGTGATAAACCACATGCAGCCTGGTGCTTAGTTTTTCTGAAATTTTACCATCCTTATTTCATATTTCTTAACAGTCCCTTGTCTACAAGGTGCCCCTGCATGAGCTGCTCCATCGGTGCATCATTCAATACTCCGCTTTGCAATGACACTAGAGCTGAGGGTCCCGGGAGTCTGCTCCTCAGTGGGAGACCCTGGCTGTCTACTTCACATGCTGAGGTCCTCGTTCGGCCTTTGGTGTGATGGGCGCTGCACCTGCTGAGTCTTTTGAAAGACCCTTTTCCCCTCTTAAGTAAGACAAGCTGAAAACAAAGCCAGTGTTCAGATTTCAGTCTTCTCAGTACAACGAGGTGGGCAGTAAAGTTGATGGTGTGACCTTGTTTGCATTCTGTTATGGAACAACAGTGTTCTCAGAAGACCCTCACACTATTCTGTTTCATCTTCCTCTTACCCATCACATACTACTTAAAAAGCACTTATTTCTGTAGAATATGTACAATTTACAAACAGCTTTCTAACTCACATCTCCTCAG